TAATAATAATAATGTAAAATAAAATATCTTTAGGATACTTTTTAAAACTAAAAATAAGACTGAAGTAATCACATTTAAGTATAACGACACAATATGTAATAATGGAATAAAACTGCATGGACTATTTCACGGATACCGCCGTCTTAGCGCAAAGCATCATGGTACAGTTTGGGGGCATCCAGTGCCAGTGTGTGAATTAAATTACTGAAAATGGGTTGTGTATTGTACTTGTGTATATGTGCAACAATGGGCTTCATGCAAGAACCGTTCATACGCACAGATTTGTTCTTAAATTGTGCGTACGAGTGATTTAGGAGAATTTGTGGCATTCACCAATGTTTTCGTATAACGGTATTCTAACGGTGCTGCGCACCGTTAGAATACCAGAATACGAAAACATTGGTGAATGCCACAAATTCTCCTAAATCACTCGTACGCACAATTTAAGAACAAATCTGTGCGTACGAACGGTTCTTGCATAAGACCCAATGCTTCAAATTGGTGAAGTAGCTTGAAGCTGGATGATGTCGTTTTGGACAGAGGTTTTGGAAACCTCTGAATCAGGGACAAAAAAGCCCCCAGCTGCAGGAAGAACTAAAATTCCCCACAGAGTTGTTTTTTCTTTTCTCTCTCATGTTTCGATTTACTGGAGGACAGATGACTGATTAGATTTTATAAATGCACATGTGCAGCTCTTTTCTAAACCTTAGCATTTTGCTAGTTATTTTTAAGATGCCCTTTTTTGGTGGAAGGATGAGTTAAAGAAAGTTGGATAATTCTTTGGGTTTGGTTTTAAATAAAAAATAACACAAAATAAAAAAAAAACATCCCCTCTTTTGTTCCCACATACTGATGTGGTTGATGGGAACAGGTAATGTAAACTGCAGTGCCTGTGCTTTAAACGGGAAAAAAAGCCTCATCAGAGTGCAGAGTATATCAGCATTTCAGAATGAAAGGGACTTTTTCTCTTCTACAGGACAAGTCATTCAGAGAGTGCTAGGTTAGAGAAAGTCCATTAATATGCTGTTGAATCACACGTCTTCCTTCTCAATTTCCCTCAGGGTATTTTTTTGTATTAGTCTGCACGTAATCAGAGCTTAAATTGATAAAAATACTTTGAAAGTTTAAGAAGTCACAGACAGAATGATTATCCCACAGGTGATGAGTTGCTGTAAAATTAGTTGGGATGTCGGCGTCAACCCGATTTCATTTAGAAACTAGTTTTGGAAAATGTCAACCATCCCTGTTAGTCTTATCATTTTTTCACGAGTTGTGAGCGTGCAATGGAACAAAGCACACATTCACATCCAACCCTTGCTGAGATGACACCTTTTTCACAAGATTCATTCTGTGAAACGCTGCATCACACCGGTCTGTCTGACGTGGAGACGGGAGGCAACGGCCACTTCTGAAATTAACCCTTTGTGTGCCAGGATGTCAGATACAAACAGACACTTGCACACATGCACACTGTGTGTGCAGTAGGCTTGACGGTGTAGCCCAGTCTGAATGAATCAGAGACAGGTCGATTATGACTGGAACCGGTGGCCATTCAGGGACGGGATGACAAAGCACTTACCTCAACAAGTCTCACTGCTGCAGAATATGGGCTTCCAATCATCTAGATGGGAGGTTCACAGTGCTGAGGACTCTCACTCTCAGATGTATGTCTTCCATATTTGTGTGTAACTGTGACTGGCAACTTTTTTCTTTTTATCAGGTGAATCTATTTCAACACCTCAAGAGTACGGAATACATTTCTGACATCTACATCGTAAACCGCAAGAAGTTAGCTTTTTTTTTTGCAAATTAAAAATTAAACGATTGAGTTTAAAATAAGAAGTCGTGCTTTGACAAATGTTGATGATTGCTCCACTTTCTTTGATCTACAAATAAGATGGGAAAAGAATAAGATTGGCATCAAGATTATCTCAACACACTAATCCCAGTCGTGAAACTTTTTTTTTAAAATCATGCGTTGAAGCTTATCTTGAAAGCGGTTTGTTGAACATGATTGCAAATTATGGATGTTTTATGTTTGTGTTCTTAGCTAAAAGCAGAGATGTGTCTCACAATAAACTGGATTCTGAAGTTGTACCCAAAGTGGCCCGCATGACCGTTACTGGAAAGAAGCAGACGATGGGATTTGACGTTCCTGGGTATCTCAAATCACTCTACCTTTAGAGAAAAAAAAACTAGTGGAAGTGATATATTCTTAAGTGAATTGCGGTCTGATTAGAAGATTTTAAAATCTTTGGCTACATTTTGTCTTTTGTTGTGACTAAAAATGACATTTGCTCCACAGCACCGGGGAGAACGGCCCCGTCGTCCCTTCTGTGCGACGAGGCGGCAGCCCAGAAAACGCTGCTGCTCCCGAGTCCGCCTCGAAACGTCCCGAGACACCATCTAAAGGACCAAACGTGGACGAGTTCTCCGCTAGTGCCACGCCGGGGCGCTCCTCTGGGAAAACCCGGCAGGCGATCAACATCAAGGCAGAACTAGAGAAGAGACAAGGGGGAAAACCTCTGTTAAATTTGGTAGTTATAGGTAGGAAACAAATGCAGTAATGAGCTATATCTGCTAAAATGAAACTTGATGGTAGCCTAAAGCTTAAAGGATCAAAAGGAACTGTTTTTCATACAAGTTTGGATTGAATCCTACTTTCAAGCTTTACCTCCAAATCACACACTAAGTGCTACCCTTTATAGTTGAAGTCAGAAAAACATGTCAGTATGGCCATATTTGTTGTAAGATAACAGTAGTAATCAAGCCTCCATCAAGCTTAAATACATAATTTTATGCTTTTTAAGAATAAATATCAAACATAGATTGGATTTTATCAAACTAAACATTGCAATAGATTTTTTTTAGACCAGCAAAAAAGTTTTAACAGGGAAAGTACTTAATTTTTATTTATATATATGTTTTTTGCAAACACTCATACCCCTAAATTTCCAAATGTGCTCTTTGGTCTTTGTTTTACTTAATGAGAATAAAATGTGCAAAGTTTCCATGACAGACTCTCTGAATCCTGAGTGTTTGCAAAACTGTGACCAACAAGTCGCATGGTCGCATTTTGAGCTTTTAAAATCACAGCTAAAAATGCACATTTTGCAAAACTGCATAATTGTCAACTTTGGCTCACTTTCTATCACATTAATAATTTCATTTCAAAAGTGTACTGCTGTACGTTAAGATAAGCGTATCTGGGCCAGTTTTTAAGTATGCCTTGTCAGTTGAAAGCCAAAAATAGAGATGGGTTGCAATGACTCTAACTTTTTTTAAGAACAAATCTGTTTCACATTTCTTTGCATGTGTTCAAAACTCATAACAAGACTGTGAGCCTCTGTGACTTCAGCGAGGACATTGAGAACCCCATGAAAGCTGTTTGCCAATGAGTCACCAGCAGTCAGCCCAGTGAGACTCTACCTTGAGTCTTTACTTTGTTAAACAATATTAACTCTTTGCCTAAGCACATTTGTTTTCCAGAACCAGGTGCTAAAAGGTGATTTTAAGGGAAGGTTTGCAGCTTTTTGTTACTGTTAAAAGTTTCTTTACATTCACAGACTATGTCCATGTTTGGTGTGCACGTCTAAGTAAATGACACACTGGCACAGTTGCTCAAGCATATTTTCCCATTCTCAGTTAGACCAGAAAATGTGACTTGGTAGTTTCAGAAGTGCAGATGATTCTAGTTTCCCATAGAGTGTGAAACCTTTTTGTGTTACCACGGTCCCCCCCTCCCCCGTTACCCTCAATCCTTGTTCCCGTATCTGTCTGTATGTCTCCCTTCACTTGTGTAATTTTTGTTTCCTCGTCCAGTCTTGGTTTTTATTTTCATTGTTCCTATTCTTCCCTCTTGTGCTTGACTTCTCATTATTAGCTCAATCTTCTTTTTTTTTTTAACAATTAGCAGCTTTATTTTCTTCCCCTACCCACTCATGACTGTTTGACTCCATTATTTCCTCTGTCTCCGTAGGTCATGTGGACGCAGGTAAGAGCACGCTGATGGGCCACCTCCTTTATCTGCTGGGTAATGTCAACAAGCGCACCATGCACAAATACGAGCAGGAGTCAAAAAAGGCGGGAAAAGCCTCCTTTGCCTATGCCTGGGTTCTTGATGAAACTGGCGAGGAGAGGGACAGGTAAACGTGCATGCAAAGTGGAAAACAAAAATAAAATCGGAAAATTTGTTATTTTGCGGATTACCTCCATTTTCAGGATAATGCTCATCAAATTTCATTTTTTCTAGTATTTGTGATTAAAAAGGCATTTTGTCCGGCTGAACATTTATTTGTGCTGTTTTAAGTTTAACAGTCTGCCCTGCTGTTGGGTAGTTTAGTATTGTTGTATGACCACACTGAACATGAGGCAGAGAAAGCAAAGACTGTCTGCACAAGCCGGAAAGAAGATTATCCATATCCATGATGAAGTTACAACACCGTCTTCCTGCAAATTCATGGTGCTGTGACTGCAGCTGTCAATATTTTTAAGTACTAAAATGTTCATGAAACTGTGGCCAACCTCTCAGGATGTAGACGCAAGAAGAAATACAACCCTGGATCTATCAAACGGACAGTGCAAATGGTAGAAAAAGAGCCAAAGAAACTATTCAAAACTAGTAAAGCTGAGCTTCAAAGTCAGGGTATGTCACTTTCTGATCACTCCATCACATTTTGTATCGTAACAGGCTTTTGGAAAAAATCCAGGAGGGCTCCACTACTGGCTAAAACCACAAAAAAGTCAGACTGCAATTCACCGAAATGCATCACAACAGTTGTTTTTGATGATAACTGTGAAAGGGTACCAATAAATTTATCTGCATTTGTATACAAAACATGAACAAAAAGAGGATGCTGCTCATAGTGTTTAGATGCCTGACCGATATAATATGTAGACTAGTTTTTGTTTTCATCTTCGATATCAACATTCGCTGATGGGTGCGGCTCCCCAATATTATGTGTCTACTTTAGAAGTTAGTGACAAGTGTCTATGATTCCCACCCAAGACACTTTCTGTTTCTGCCTTATTTCGCTTCCGTTTCACTCTCATAACAACAGAGAGGGCAAACAGCATGTTTGTTCCTATGAAATAGGCTGAATGGGTGTTGAAAAGCTTGAAGCAACCTGTGACACCAATTAAGGTCAACTGCTTAGTTTGAAACTCACTTGTAAAGCAAGCAATGGTTAGTCTCTCTAAGGGTTCCAACAAATCTGTTCGTACTATTTAAACATATCTTTGTAAAACAAATAATAAATCGTTTGCTGTAAGAAATATTTCTTTACTCTCTCACATACTAAAGGTATACAGATAGACAATTGATTTTAATTGAATCACATTGCACAAGCATTGTTTCATTGAGCTATAAAAAGACAAAAAAATGTATCCGTGAATGTTGTGACCTTTTTGCACTGCAAGGCCCGGCCCAGGTTCAAACCTGGGTTCTGAGTTTTTGCATTAGCAAAGTTATAGTCTGGATTCACCACGATTTCTGGAGCCGCAAGACCTATGGTCCTATTCCCGACCAGATTTGACGTCCACTACTATTGGCCATTAATTGGCGTCTTGTCTCACAGATGAGATTAGTTTTTCTTGAACTGTTTGCAGCAATTGTAACAAATTTTGACGAGTTTAACTAAACAACAACTGTAGCAAGCAACAAGAAGCTAACATTAGGTACCATTAGATGACCATTTTCTGTCGTCTTGCCTCTCATCATTATCTAGATGGTCCAGTACAGTCTTCAGTGCTTTTCCTTTGAGTTTAGTGTAGTCCACTGTTGTGTCACAAATAAAATAAAATAAGATTTGCGCCTTTTTTTGAACCCGCCCACATCGAGGTGGTGCTCTGCTCAAAACAAATCCAACCAGGGCCGGGGTAGAATAAGTCCGGGCTGGCCCTCGCAATGCAAAAATGAAAAATATAATAAAATTTTTTCTGGGTCAGATGGTTTTAAAATCTCTGAATGGTTTGTGTTTTGCTCCAGAGGTGTGACAATGGACGTTGGCATGACTAAGTTTGAGACGGACTCTAAGGTGGTGACCCTGATGGATGCACCGGGCCACAAAGACTTCATTCCCAACATGATAACGGGCGCTGCACAGGTACAAGAAAACTCTTATTATTAGTCAAAAGTGGTCTACTTTGGTCTGGGCCATGCTCTGACTAGTCCTTGGCTCTTCAGTTTGGTCAGAGATAAGCTGTTTTTCAAACAAAAGCCATCCAATGAGCCATCTACAACAGGAAACATATTAACTGTTAATAACCTTTCAACTGAGCCCCTCTTCAAAATATTAGAACTATCCCTTTAATTGATTCTCATGCATCTTTTTTGACATAAACCTGTTGATTAAAATGGTGTCCACCCCACCCTCTGCTCCATGCACCGACATCTTACCACACCCCTCAGCTCATTGTTGGTGGTTTTGGGTGTGGGTGTCACAAGGTGTTTTTTTGGGTGTGCTTGACAGTCTCTATTTTAGAAAATGGTTGTAATTTCTCCTTTTACTGTATGACTGTCATCCCGTCCAGCCTCATTCATGGAGTGAGTAAGGGGTTTCTGTTTGAGAAAAACTCCTTTGTCATGATCTGCGAGGCTTCAGACAATGTTTCCGTCTCACGTTATATCCAGCGCGTTCATGAATTCTTAATAAATGACTTTGCCACTGATACGAGGAGCTGACTTCATTTTGCTTAATAACATCAGCTTTTTACACTTGCTAAGAAACTACTCCGTGTTTTACTTAGAAGTCTTATGTGTACACACAAAAAACTAGAATAATAATGATTTTATTGGTGTCTCACATTATGTAAAATGGATAAATTTCAGCCCACTTTTTTTTGCTTCATTTTATTTAAGAGATGCTAATTACCTTCCGCCTCTAATACTAGAATCTGAAACTGTTTCTGATGAGAGGCGTCAGAGTAGAGCTGTTTTGGGCAAACCTTGTAAATGACATTATGATCTCATGCGATAGAGATTTTAGAAAAAGAAAGAATCAGGGGTTGGCGCAGCTAACCAAAAGGTTAGGTTCACAAACCACTAATCCACTAAACAAGAATCATAGCTCCTATCTGTAAACGGTCACTTAGTCTGTGTCACACAGCTTCCTCTGCTTCCAGTTGTAGACTGGTGGGACTGTTGCTCGTTTTCTGTTTGTTTAATTTGAGGGTGGGTGGAATCATCTGTGGCATATCGGCCAATCCAAATTAGTTATAGCTCTATCAAATGTGTGATACTTCCAGTTTGACCCTTTCAGAATAAAAGCATTTCTTTGAATTTGTATTTTTGTAAATACAGTTTCAAGTTAGTCAAATAACAAATACTTTCTCTACCATATTTTATGTGCAGTCAACTTTTGTATTCTTAATATAAATTTTGTTAAATGTTATTTTATTTCTTTTTGACATTCTTAGTTTAAAGTTTAGCTGCTAAAGAAGCTACATGCTACATACACAGTGCCTGATATGGCCAGGACTGCTTGTAAGAGGGGATAATTTTTTTTATTGAATTCAGGAAAAAGGCATAAAAATACACTAAACACTTGTGAATTTTTCAGTGGACTTAAAATTAGCAGGACCTAGTTTAGCGGTAGCTAATCAGTCCGCTAATGATTTCCAAAGTTTGTAAAAACGCTAATCGCTAAACGAGAAGCTAGTTCTGCTATAAGTGGATTAGCAGAACATTGCCCAGCACTGGATAGAATATATCCTTATTGTCACTGCAATTGAAAGTGCAATGTTTTCCAGTGTCTCAGCAGATAATAACAATGGAAAAATACAATAAATAGTAAAATTATAACACACAATTTAAGACGCACACACACACCACCTCATTTTTTTCAGCGCAGAGTTCAGTTCATTGATGGACACCAGCAGATTTTGGGCTTCGTGTTTATTCCTGAGAACCCTCTCAACTGGACTTTCTTGATAATTATGGTAGTTAGCACCTCCAGGAACCAGACGTCTGAAACCCACTCCACTTTTCGCGAGATCTGTTCATGCTTGGAACCGCTCGCTTATTACCACAATTTTTTGCTCAATTTATGCAAAACTGTTAGAGTAAGATACATTTTCATGGTGGCCATTTTGATTTGAGTTGACTCCAAAAGTTAGTCAGTTGTAGACATACATCCAATGATTACTTTCACTAATATTCATCCGTTTGTCCATGAGATATTTTGCTAACAGAGAGATAAACAAGCACATGAACACACATGGAGATATTAAGATTTGAAGGCATTTTGTTTATGTACGGCTCTTTTAAGTCCTGCCACAGAGTTTATAGGTCTGGACTTTTGATTGAGTCATAGAAACACCTCGATTGTTTTTTTTAGACATTCGATTGATGTCAGATGTGGTGAGAAAGCTTTGGGAGATCTGACGGCATGTAGTTTTTCACTCTAACATCTTCCTTATTCCTCCCGCCAGGCGGATGTGGCGGTGCTGGTGGTGGACGCCAGCAGAGGAGAGTTTGAGGCTGGCTTCGAGGCCGGTGGTCAGACCAGAGAGCACGCTCTGCTGGTGCGTTCCCTGGGCGTCACTCAGTTGGCTGTAGCTGTCAACAAGATGGACCAGGTCAGACGTGTTCTTATTGCACCAACATGTGAGCAGGACTGAGAAGTGGTTTGATTAGTTTATTAGGATTTATTTTTACTGTATAATGTACTGTATAGAGATGGACGACAGGATGAATATATTATCTATTGGTCAATAAAGTCTGGTGGTAGACCATATTATCCACTATATTTGGGCTAGTTTAAAATTTTTATGAGTTTGACTTGTAAATAAATCAACCACATCATTTTCCAGCAGCAGCAAAGCCCCCGACTTTCCTTCACCCACTCAGTTGACAAAAGGACACCGAGTGAAAATCATCTTAGCCCAGCTTTTGTTCTCTCTCTTCTCTTTGCACCATTCCATTTCCTCCTCCAAAATTACTACCGTATTTTCCAGAATTTTAAGTCCCCACTTCTTTTTATAGTTTGGCTGGTCCTACAACTTACAGCTGGTAAAATAAGTATTTTACCATTTTTCTCAGTAAATATATTACTAAAGGTGCTATTGACATGAAATTTTCACCAGATGTCGGTAACAGCCCAAGTGATCCATACATACAAAGAAATCAAACCATAAATGTCCAGAAATGAAGTTATTTGTAATAATGTGGAATGGCACAGGGAAAAAATATTGAACGCATGAAGAAAGGGAGGTGTTAAAAGGCATGGAAAGCCAAGACACCAGCTGAACTCTCTC